CACCTTCGTCTCAGCTTTCTCTCGCTCCTTCTTCGGATGGCGCCTCGACGATTGAGCATAGATCCAGGCGACAGGTATGCAGGCCCAAATATCGCATCGCTACAGAAGCACGTGAAAGCTCAAGCGGAACTGTCGAGCTGCTCGTGTTGCTTCCGCTCGGACGGCTTCGGCTTTTCCACTTCGACAAAATCCTCCTCACTGTCTTCTCTGTCACTGCGGTTTCCCTGCAAAGTTGCCAAGGTATATCAAATTGGCATCCAGAACACAGAGGTGCAAACGTCTGCCTTGTAGCCACCGGCTGCTTCAGCCTGTCAGTTCTGTACTGCAGAGATCTACACTGCGGTCGGTACCCTTCGACGAGGCTAAAGTAGGTCGAGCACCCCAAAACACCAACGAGCGCGCTCGCGTGAGCAAAGCAAAAGGGACGTGAATTGTGATATCTGGCAATCCGGGGATTGGCCTCTCGACCAGGAGACCTACAGAAGCGATAGTGAGGGGCTTCCCATGCTGGCCGAAGATCGCAGCAGTATGTGCGACAATATTCCACCTCCGAGCACAAGTTCGGAAACCTTCGCGCGGCCAGCGTCCGCAGTGATTCAGGAGGATAGAAAACCGGGAACCAAAGACGATGACATTTAAAAACGCGCTCCACCACAACTTTATGACTCGCAGCCTCGGCTGCCTCGGCTGCTCGCCTTGCCTTGGCTGCACATTTTTTGCGGAAAGCTGCCATTGGAATTGAGCCGAGTCGCCTCTTTCTGTCGCTTACGCTGTTGACGCCGGAGCTGGGAAGGAGTCAGCGTCTGGCGTAGGGACTTCACCTGTTCTCCCAGTGCACGACCACGCAAATCCCAGCAGGAGTCGACGTGAATCTGTTAAGCCCGGGCCTGCGGTGGCTGCTCACTGTCCTACGACAGCGCGCACAAGGCCCAAACAAAAATATCGAATCAACGAAGTGCGTAGCAACCGTTGCAGCATGTTACACCGATGTGGTCCTGATGCTCAGAGTTGGCCTGCAAGCGGTCCGAACAAAAAATTATAAAGCACGATGCAACAGTTCAACTTCCAGATCCAGCGTAACGCATGGAACGGACAGTCTAAGACATTCGGATACATGCGTCCTGCCTGCGATCTTCTATCCCTTCCTCCGCGTCGCGATCTCTCTGCATCCCGTTGTGCCATGGCTTCCTCAAAAGACGGTTTCCACTGTGTGCATTCCTCAAGTATCTCCTGTATGCCGAATGCACACGTCCTGAAACTCCTCAGCGCGACGGCGCTCTTCCGCCGCCTTCTGCTTGACCTATCACAACGAGAGGGCCACTGGATCCGCAGGCTGATCTAAAGATGCGCTTTCCTCATGTAGGCGCCTGCTCGTGCCCCAGCTCGTCCGATTCCTGGACGCAGAATGATGAAATCTCACGAACAGAAAATTCAGGCACGAGCCAGCACCGCCTTCGTCTCAGCGGCTTGTTCCTCCTTGGAGAGCTTGCTTTCGGCAGCCTTCTCGGCCTTCTCCTGTCGCTTCCGCTCTTCCTCCTCAGCTTGTCTCTGGCGCTCTTTCTCCTCTTCCTCACGCTTGCGCTTTTCAGCTTCCTTCTGACGCTCCTCCTCTTCTTTCTGTTTCAGCTCGGCCTCCTTCTCGGCCTGCACTCGCTCCGCAACGGTCCCTCATCTGCGCACGAGCATGCCAATGAGTGAACCAGTAAGTCTAAGATAGTCTAAGTGGGTGCCTTGCGACGCAATTCTGCCTGTTCTGCCTCCCTTTGCAGCCTTTGTTGGTGCTCCTGTTCCAATCGGTCCTGCTCCTCCTGTGCCTGGAGAGTGCGAGAACCAGAAAGGGAGACATACCTGAGAAACTTGCGGATGCTTGCCTTTCTTCTTTGATCAGCTTCTCTTCTCTCGCGCAAAGCTGCTTCTAATTTCTGGCGCTGCTCCTCCTCCTCCTGACGCATTTTTTCCTGCCAGGGCAAGCATGCCAGGCATGCCACGGAGGGAGTTGGAGGGAGGGCTGACGGCTCACACAGTGACCGAAGGGACCACCGGCCTCTGCGCGCTGCTTGGCCTCTCCAAATGCAGTGCCCACGCGCTCCCACAAGTTCCATCATATTCCCATATGTTCCCGCATGCTTCCTGGACAAAGCCTGTACATCAGACAGTGTTAGACATCAGCTCTGCAAGCTGTGTCTTTCTTGTCGGAAGCCGAAGCTGCCGGACACTTGGGCTGCCTGCTTGGCCTGTCGCTTCCGGCGCTGCTTCGACTGCTCCACAAATTGCGTGTCCTCCTCCTGCGCAGATACTGCTATAGCACGCAGAGGCCTCATGCAGCACGAAGGCCTCCTCGTCAATCGGATCTTCAGCCTGTTCTGCATCCGGTTCCTCCTCTACCTGCTCCGCTTAAGGGATAAGGCACTCGAAAGAAAAATCTGCCGTGAATTACACCCAAGGCCCAAGGACGGAGTCACATACAGTCTGGGCCTTAAGCAGCACTAAACTAAGTTTCCAAGGTGGCCCCATCCACAGCACTAAGCAAGGTTGGCATGCTGCATACATGCTGCTCTTTCTTTCTGTCTTTCTGGCAGGTTTGGCAAAAGCATGACGAAGAACACGCCCCTCGGGCACACCGAGATGTTGCCTGAAAGAGATTCTTCGGGAGCGGCGCTCCTCTTCTACTGCTGCTTGTTTTGGCGGGGTATCGGCCAATAACCCCACCGTACCAGCGCGTTTCCTCCGATTGAGGGTGCCGACGGATGCTGCCTGAAGATACCTCTTCACCGAACCCACCCCGACATCCTTTCACCGCAGAAACTTGAGTACTAATTTCTACATACCTCACCTTCTAACTTTGCACATCTCTAGCTCTCTATGTCGTCCTGGCAAATGTCGATACTTGGAGGCACGGTTGCTAAGCTCACCAACTCTTACTCGCCTCAGCTTCGGCATCTTCTTGGACGTCATCTGCTTCTGCTGCCTCCAACGCCTCCTACATGGATGCATCTGGCTGTAATTTGGGTTGCGGACTGCACCTGCTGACCTGCCTGCTTCGCGGCAGCGTCTGCTTTCTTGGCCTAGCTCCAGCTGTTAACGCATGATCGCCGCCTAATCCGCAATCGGTGGAAGGCCTTCTTGCGCTCTTTGCGGATTTGTGCTGCCTTTTCTTGGTTGGCCTGACAGCTGGCACCACAAACACCTCAGACGATGGGCCCCAACAAAGAAGCCTTCTTTTTGGCACTCTTCCTTGGTTCAAAGGTTCCAACTCGTGGGACGGACGTGAACCAGTCGCCAGGCCGGGCCGAGCCACTGCTCCATCTGATCGATCCAGGACTCATCCAACACTTCCTCTGCCTCAAACGAGCAGCCGTCTGCTTTCTCCGGCACACACTGCACCTCCAGCAGCCCAAGCCTGCTTCTCTTGGGTCTCCTTTGTAGGACACATGACCGCTGCACATCAAAGCAAAGGGAACAGCAGAAGATCTTCCGTAATTGCAACAGGCTAGGGGCTGCTTTTTCCGCGGCTTCCCGGGCAGCGGCCTCCTGCAACAGATCTAGAGCCGTAAAGGCACGCATTGAAGCGTCGCGACTTGCAGGATCTTGCAGCTCACTGCAGGTGTCCTTTCTCTGCTGCAGGCGTTTCCTATCACGATGCGGCTGCGACAGCCAACCAGAAACAGGCCAGAATCCGAAGCCAGGACTTGCCTTGCACGCTCCTGGGATGGAGCCAATGGTGCCTCGCTGCACATTCCATATAATTCCGTCTGTTTGCCTCTGTTTGAGTTTGCCTTTGGCTTCAAAATCCAAGTGGCCGCGGGAGGTGGCGGTCGTTGGGCTGCTCGGACGGCTGCAAGGCCAGGGCCTACGAGGTTCCTCGGAGAGAGGTACTGAGGTACAGTCGGTGGTCGGTTCTCGTGGGTCTCCCTCCGCGTTCGCTGTTGCCAAGTGTTGCCAAGATGCATCATGAGTTCCGGCGGAAGCTCGATCGCGTCGCTGGGCAAACCATTCTCGCCTCGGGCTTGTCCCCCAATGAACACAAACTCACAGAGCACTGGCGACCGGAGCTTCGGCCATAGCTCATCGTGAGGGGATCCCAATTCCTTAGCAAAGTTGTCCAAAAGGCTGCCGTGCCGACCGCTAAGGCCAATCAGAGTCAAGGCTCAGGTCATCGGGCACATGGCCTTCGGAAGCCTGGATACAAGGACTTGCAGCCTAGCAAAACAAGCGGTCATGCAAATCGAGTCCCACATCCCAACCCATGATGGCCTCAATAATTTGTGCCTGGGCTGCCCGGTGCTGGCTAGGTTCGTGCATTCTCTCGTGCCATGGGCCAGGCGCATGCTTTGTCAGTGCAGCTGAGCTGCAGCAGCTTTCATAAACGGACTGGGCTTGTAACTCACGCCATCTGCTTCTGTCCCCTCCAGACAGCAACAAATGCTTGAATCATCTACCAGCCACAGTGCGCTTCGCCGAACCGGAGGCAGCGGGTAAGCGCACCACTTTGGACGCCATCCACAACACTCCACTTTCGGCCTGAGGGATGTGCAATCACACACTGCTTTCAAGGAAGTAGTGGCAAGCAGAGCTAGGCCCACAGCCGTCCAGCCAAGAAAGGGAGAACTTAAAAGGCCATGGAGCTAAGTTTGAGCTAACTTGAAGCTGCATGGAAGAGCATGTCCCATCAGCCCATGCTAGCCATGCAGAATCGCCGTAGTCAAAGATGTCAGTGCGTGTCCTGTAAACCAACTTGTTTAACATGCAGGGTCGGTTATCGATTCAGAGAGACGGCACAGAAGGACGCAGACCCTCACGCCCGTGAGATGAAAGTAGCTGTGCCGCTCTGCCGGGTTCTGTACAGGACAGTCGACGCAAGGGCTGGTTCGGAAAGTCCGAGTCCAGACAGCAGCCCTCGCTGTCACAGTCTCTACGAATTCACGCTACCAAGAAAGGCAACGAAGGCTATAATCCATTTAAAAGACTTTGGAAGAAGCTTGCTTGGTTGCACCACGGGCTCAGATTCGCCCACCTTGACTTTTCCATCCCTTTGATAATGGTTCAAAACTGGCTCCAAAGATACTGCGCCTCGTGATATCCGGGGAGCAGGCACACTTCTTGGCCGCCGGGAAGCATTGCATCCCACATCTTCTGGCAAGAGAAACGGGAATCACGAGTCTGAAAATAGAATGCTGATCTGCGCATTTAAACCATCACACTCGTGAAATCACTCTGTGCGGGCCTCCTCGTCCTGAACACCACAAGGACATGTCGGATTTCAAGCGCCGTGGACTCGACTCGTGCGAACTACTGCGTGGCAGCGCTCCTTCCAAGGATGCAGATAGTCCATATCGTTGTGGCCCCAGTAGCATGGGCCATACCTTTATATCAACGATTTCACTCCGGCATGCACGCCAAGGGCCCAAGGGCCGCCAAGAATAATTCAGATGCCGGCTTTAAGAACTCCTTGGCCCGCTCATCGATTCCTGCTAGTGATGCGACATGTATGACACCGTACCTCTGAACAGAACACCGCATGACGACAAGTCCAACTGTCGCAATATGTTCAACGGGTCTTCCCAGATCTGTGGCAGTGCAGCGCATCTCCCCGCAAGCAGCCAGATTCTCGCCTGAGCTGCACCCTGCACCGCACCGCCCATCTGAAGGAGCGCACACTTCATTGCAACAGCTCGTCTGGGAGCCCCCAGCGCAAGTGCCCAGAGTTTTTGGACCTTATGTGGCAAGTTCGGAACTCTGTACGTGACGCGAGCAGGTGCCGAAATTGGGCGCTCTCGGCCGCTGGCTTCACCACAGTGCTGGAGTTACGGGCTTGATTCCACTGCATGCAAACCTTGCGGGGGCTTCGGATCTGCACCCGAAGCTGATACTCCCAGGCATGCGCCTGGAATGGAGTCAGCTGGTGCTTCTCTGCCACCTAGGTGCATATGATGCACGGGTTCAAGCAAGGCAGGCCACTCACGCAAACTCGAGGCTCGAACTGAGAGGACTGTGGGGTCCTTAGACAGCTTATTTCGCCAAGTAGGCGAGCCAGGCTCAACGGATGGTTTCAAACATCTAAGCAACGGCCCCCCACCAATCCCATGGTTCGGACTTGTACCAAGGCGCATCAACGGCTCGGTGGCCGGAATTACGTTCGGTCTCTTGGCCTCCAAAGGGCGCATAACCTGCACTGAGCCGTACTAGTACGAAAATGATGGCCCGGCCCGCTGACGCTGAGCAGGCTGCCCTGGAAAGCAATGGACTGCTTCCTGCACCAGTCACGTACCGACCTGCAAAAGCTTCACCACAGGTACATGTTCCTCAGAGACCATGATGCCGTCCGTGCCTGTTCGGCCAGTGCGGGTGCGACTCTCCCTGCATGACCATGGGAGCAACCTGAGAAGATCATCGCCCTGAAGTCGGCCATGCAAGCCTTCGGGGACTAAGACCGCGTCAACGCAGCCTTGTAGAATTGCCTGCGCCAATGAGTCAACCGATGCATGGACACTGTAAACACCCTCGCGGCCTCCATGTCCTCGATCGTGTGGTTGCTGACCCCGATCGCACGAGCCCGGCCAGAGTTGAAAAGCCTGGGGCTCATCGAAGCCAGCAACTCGGCGAAGATGACAGAAACTTGGCCACAGACTCTTCCATAGCTCTCCAGGTTTCCCCACGCAGTGAAGCTTTCGTTTGACTGGCCCTGGCAGCTGCCCACTTCACCGCAGCAATGTCACGAATACATTTTGACTTCACAGCTATCTCAACTCCTGCTTTTCTCTTGTTCTCTGCCACCTCTCGTGATGATGATCACGGAAGCCTGCTCTGCAACATGTACACACATTGACACAATGCCAGCCTTGCGGCCTTGCAACGGTGAAACTTGATCGTCACTGTCACGGAGAGCGCTCTCCGTTCGACGTTCCAGGAGCACATATCACTGGGGCGTGAAGCTCGACCACGGCGAAGGCAGAGTGGAGGCATGGAGCGAACTCAGTCCCATCAGATCCGGCGCAGGACTCGGAGGGCAAGATCCTGCAAGAGGAAATGCTGGAAGAGGCATTGGACAGTGCCCAGGCAGCCCTGGCATGGGTACTCCAGGTGAATAAGCAGCACGATAACCAGCAGGTGGTGCTGGCGGTAGTGGCGCCATTGGCACAGGTCCGTTTGGGAAGACCCGTGACTGAGCGTAGCCAAATGCATTGTTCAAGTTGCCATTGCAACTTGCTGCAGTCGCTGAAGGGAATGTTGTTGGCTCCTGGATGCTGACGGATGCATTGGCACTAGGTGCATCGCCTGGAGCAGACATAGGCAGAAGCGAGCCCGAGTCACCTCCTCGTGATGGGTGGAACCTCGCCCATACATCACTTATCGGTGATCGCGACGCATCAGTTTCTGGAACGCGCGGGGTGACTGGCGTCTCTGCTGAAGACAGAGCCGCAGACGCCCGCTTCCCCTTTTCGATTTCGGCCGCTCTCCGGCGAATTTCCTCGACACGATCCGACGGAGGCAAAGGGGGCCCTCGCGCCCTCAAGCAAGGTTCCGCTCCCGGAAAGCTGCGAGCCATTGGAAGACCCTGTGGGGTGAGTCGGTCTGGAGCGGACTTGGCCTGGATGTCATGGAAGCCTTAGCTCTGTCATGAACACCTTTTTCATCTCTGGCATGTGACCATAGAAAGACAAACAACTGACATGTTACACATTGCTACATGGATGAGAGCACTAACCGACTACAAGCAGCCTGATCAAATGCTCGATGATGCATGCTCATACCACATGCTTAATAATGCGACAAGCAGCGGAGCCTGGAGTTCAACTTCCCGACACGCCCGTCGATGGGCATGACAGTGACAGACGAAACATCCGTCTGTTCGTGACCATTCTCGCTCTCAAGGGTCAGCGGGTAAGCAACGCCTGCACCATTGACAGCCTCTGGCTTTGCACGGTCAGGGCTTGGGACACCGGCTGCACCTTTCAGCACTGCAGGTGTCTTCAGCTTCTCGGTCGTTGGCGTCGGCTCTGACCTCTCGCACGACAGTGACAGCTCCTCCTGCAGCTTGCTCATCAGCTCACCATGGCGGCTTTGCAAAGCTTTGACTTTGGCCATCGATTGCTTCTTCAGCTGCTCTAGCGTAGCTCCAGGCTTTGGGGAACCGAAATCTCTCAGCCGCTCAATCGCTCCCTTGTGCACGTCTTCCAGGCAGCCACATCGCTCTGCCAGCAAGGATAGGCTAGCCCGGAGCTCAGACACTTGCCGCTGGCAGGCTTGGACTTGAGACAAAGTCCCCGTTTTGCCATCCCTTACGGGAGACAGCATTGGCAAGTGGCAATCCTTCGCACCATTGCCGGTTACAAACAAGCCGAAGGCCCTACAATGACTGGCCTTGACGCTGGGAACGTACTAATGCTTCGGTATTTTTGACAATGGCCACCTGATTGGCCCACCATGTGTGTCTCCAACCCGAGTCTTGACGAGCCAGAACCGCAAGTGCTGCAGTGGTTGCAGGCCTGCCTGCATCTGCTACATACAAGCTTGGTGGCCGGGTCCAATTCTCACATCTACATTTGCCATGTCGGCCTGCTCCACTGCTCAGGACCCCAGTCTCGCTGCTCCAAAGACCACACATGCGGCCTTTGTCCACGGAAAGAGCTAAGTTCTGAAGCACCCAAACGTCCTGGGCAACGGCCATTGAATCAGCAATAAATCAACCTCATTCCAGAACTGCTATGAGCAGAAGGCAGCAGTGGCCTAACTCTATGAGAGCCGGACGTAATCCACAGCCAGCTGGCTAGTTTGCCTAATCTGTCAGGACTCACACACAAGCCTCCACCTAATCCATCATTTTGGCCCGGCCTCCGAAACGATTGGAGGACGCCATCGTGGCCTCAATTCAGTGCTGTCTAAGCGACTCGCTTATGCCAGGCATGCTCTTGGGGTCCTCTTGGCGCCTTGCCATGGCTCCAAGGAGGGATCTTCACCACGAGGAAGTAGTCTTCTCGAGCCAGGCCCGACCGCGTGCCTTGGTACGCACAGCCCCCAACATCAGCCCACCATCACACAGCCGTCACTGTCTGGGGAGCCCACATGCCCATCGGACGTCGGTCAAGTTCCTGCTCTCATGCATGGGCGACAAGCAAAGGCAGTGGGCCTCCTTGTGCCGTTGAATGCATGGCGATGTGTCGCGTAACAAGCTTCAGTGGGTGGATAAAGTCCTGTTCATTTCAGAAGTATCGATCCCGCGGTAACCCATCTTGAGGGCTGCAAGAATGGCTGCCTGCCGAATACAGCAGAGACAGAACAGCAAAGAACAACACCGCAAGTATGTGACTGCGGGCCATGTCTGAGAAGCTGGCTCTGCCGGCTCTCCCAGACAAGCCCTCGTAACCGCCGGTGCCGAGCATCACCCGAGGCATGTTCACATGCCCACCCTCGGCAACCCAGCGGAAGCACCGCTCGCCATTTATCACCGAGGCTCCAACCCCTCGGATCGGCAGAGAGATAACGTCGCACGGCCTTCGACAACGCTGGAAGTCCATTTGCAAGCAACTCAAGAATCACAGAACCTCGGCTCTGCATGACGACAGGCGTCCCCAAAGCACTTTCAACCGCCGAAGTCCTTTAAACAGCGTCCTGCTTATACTATGACTATCCCCATCCACAGGATCTGCATTTTCATCCTCATCATGGATTTCCCATTCTCATGCACGGATGCAGTGCCACCCTTGGCAATGCTTTCGGAACATGCGATGCACTCCGATCTTCGAACGCCAAACTGGAACTCACGGCGAAACCTCTTTTTCGTCGTGTGGTAACAGCGCTGTATCACGCCGTTCGGCGAGGATACAGACGTAACGGACAGCCGGTGCCTGG